TGAATGAGTCAAAGCAACACTCTGGGTACTTATACCTTATAACATGAAATAAAACTCAAAAAGATAAATTTTGCATAACATCCCCCCTTTAAAGCTTAGCTGAAAGCTAAGTAATAAAAAGCTGACTACAAGTGCCAAAACCCTGGCTGAAAGCAAAGATAAGAAAACAAAAGTAAAGCCAGTCTGCTGAACCATATTTCAAAGACAACAATGTTTTTGAAGGAATTGAACAGATCAGTGTATTTTTTTTATAAAAACAGCTTTTTTTTTTATCAAAAAAGATGCCATAATCCAGAACTATTCAACTATTTGCTCCAGGGGGGCACAGTTACTGCAGGCCAACAGCTGAGGGGCCGAACATCCAGCAATTACCAAGTGTTACAAAGATCTGTTAACTTTAAATTAGTATATTTTTCTGCATTTAATCATGAATATACAGAACCCTATGTAATAACAATAGTGATAATGAAGCAATATCAAAAACAAAAATAACACAATATGCCTCCTATTTAAACCAAGTATTATTTTGACATGACTTGAACTGATTTTAGTTTTACTTACCTTAATTTTATTTTCAACTGCTTGTAGTTTTATCTGTCTTGGGTGTTCATTGAAATGTTTTTTACCAGCTTTTAGCCAACATTCTAACATTTCTGTAGATACCACACGTCTATGTTTAACTAAAAAAATATGTATACAGTATAGAAAGCCAAGGGTTTGGGCTTAATAGGGCAATATCATGTATTTTTTAGTTTTAAATCATGTTATGTTATCCTCTCATCAAAAACATGCCCAGAGTCTTTCTTTGACTCATTCATGGTTTGAGAAATCCTTTAGTGTCCTGAGGCAGCCAGGCAGGGGAGCAAAAACCACCGGTTGGGACTAGAACCGCATTTTGGGATCAGCTCCTCCTCTGGGCTGTGCCTCCAAGCTGAGCGTCCTTATCAGAGCACACACACACACCTGTGGAGAGAAGCAACTGTGATGAAGTGTTGAAATGGGCGGGACAGAAGCGGAAGGAGGCAGAGGCCAATTTCAAGGCATATAGAAACAGCTATAATGTGAAGTCAAGTTTGTTTTCTATTTAAACATATAAACAACATTTTAATAACCACTGAAGATGACATAGTTACTTTATTATGATATAGAAATTCAATATATTCCTGAGAAACATATAATATTGCCCCTTTAAGAGATTAATAAACCAATTGGCGGTCCGGATCTTGGTCACAAGCGGCCCTAATCGTGCCCGCGGGCCACCAGTTGAATAACCCTGTCATAAACACTTAAATGCTAAAGTTAGGATGTCCTTAATGAGCTGAATATTGGGACCAATGAATGGGTAAAATTCCACAGAACACGCATGTCAACAAAAGATTTTGTGGGAAAAAAAGGACAAAAAACACGTGATCTGAAACATCTTTACAAAATAAAAGTCCAGTTGTTTTGTTTTTCAAAAACTTTTGGGAACAAATAGACGAGAGAAGCAGGATGATTGCTGAATCAACATTCACACAGTAAATGGAGTTACAGTATTTGTTCATCAGATCACATTTGTGTGGAGTTTTGTCTCCCTGGGTTTTTATAGAAGTGGGATTATTTTATGTTGGGATTTCCAGGAAGACTAAAATTCATAATTAGCAGGCTTTGCCTCGAACACGGTCCACCCTCTCCCAGACTGGTCTTGGCCTAGTTCTGCATGAATATGTTAGCCTGAGGGCAGGAGTCTCTCTCTCTCCCCTGAGTGAGTAACACAGCTTTTAATGGACGGAGAATGAAGGCCTCGATAGTTAAGGCAACATCAGAAAACAAGACTGTTGAATAAAAGATACAGGAAGGGGATGCTGTAATGCTCTCTGCTGCAGAGAAGCAGTTCTATCATTCTCATGCTAAGATGTTTGTCTGGTGTTTAGCAGAAAAACTCATCAACTACACTGTAAAAAAATGAAATGTTGGATTTACTTAACCATGTTATGTTACCTTGTTCCACTTAACTGAGTTGAGTAAATTCAAAGCAACATACCAGTTTTTTTAACCAAAGAACATGAGTATGTTGCTTTGAATTTACTCACCTCAGTTAAGTGGAACCAGGTAACATATGGTTAAGTAAATCCAACATTTCATTTTGTTACAGTGTAGGATTTTGAGAATGATGCGCAGGTGCTAACACATGAATGTTAGGCTCAATGTGTGTAAACGAGCTGAGGTGGAGTCATTTTGGGTTTTGTTAGGTCAGTTTCTGTGGCGGCCATCTTGAATGTGGTTGCATCCAAACGTGAATCATTGTAGCCATGCATCCAGTGTTTATGTTCTGAGAGTGTCCAGGTAATCCATCCACTCAAAAAAACAGATTGTTAGATTTACTCAACCAAGTTATGTCAACAATTTCCACTAAACTAACAGAGCTGAGTAAATCTAAAGCAACTTGCACAATTACAGTGAAATAAATTGTAAAATATAAACTGTTCCATTTGTGCCAAATATTGTTGAGCCTTTGGCCATGTCCTTATACCTTGTGTTGAACTCCATAATCTACGTTGGACTTACTCAACTCAGTTAAGTAGAAATTGTTGACATAACTGAGTTATAATCACACAATCTGTTTTTGAGTGTAAAAATGGTTGCTGTTTACTGTAATATTACATTTTCATTTGGTCAAAAATGGGTGAAATAAACCAAAATATCTGTGAATGTGGATGGGGATTATGATGGTGTTCTCATAACTTTATAAAAGTTTGGGAGTCACTGATTTATGTCAACAGTTGTCGCCAAAGTTTGAAGCAAAAGTATCACACATCAGTAGTGCTCAGAGTACAAAATGTCAAACCAACTATTTTGAGGATAACTGTTTTTTTTTACTATTCACCATTAATACCAATAAATTGTAGTCAAAAATGCTTTGTACAAAAACTTTCTGAGAAATAAAAACTAAGGTTTGTTGATCATAAATGTTTATGTAGCTGTGTCAAAAACGTATACATAATCCTAGCACTGTCACTTTCACTCAAAGAGTTTAACCCTTGTATTTTTTCTTTTTTATAAACTAAAGATTATTTTTGATTGAATTTATTTTTTTGAGAAAAAGGGGGCAGATAAAATAAGATTTTATGTTCTTCTGCTATACCAGTGTTTCCCAAAGTTGGGGTCGGGACCCAAAGTGGGGTCCTGAAACATCAAGGTGGGGTCCTGACAAGATTTTCTGAATTAATTACATTTTTGTCTTAGATGTTACAAAGGAGTGAGGTTAGTGTGTTTAAAATAGATAAATGTAGTAAAAAAATATTGTTACTGTGCCCATG